ATTTGACTTGGTATTTGACAATGCTGTGGACCAGTGGGTGGCCAGCTCATCAGCAGAGAAGTGCCTGTTTGTCCAGATTCTGTACCACGCCTGCCAGACCTACTGGGAGAGCAAAGCAGGGAGTCTGGGAAAAGCTGGGAAGCTGGGCAAGCTGGGCAGAGCAAGTCAGGGCGCTCACCATGAAGTTGAAGCTGGTCCTAGTCACTCTTCACCAGGATCTGAATCCAAAATCCTGCAAGCCCGAAAGAAGAGCTATGTTCCTCCCAGGCAGACAGAGTTCATCAACTGCCAGTCCAAGCTCACAGGAGGTGCCAAATGATCAATGAAATAAGCAATATTCTGAAAATGATTTAGTTAATATGTGAATAACCCCATTTGTAATGTGTTGACCGTTTTCTTTCAGACGCCTGCACCATGAACCTGGTTATCTACCGCTGTAAAGCCTTTTTAAATCGCTTGAAGAAAATGATGGTTGCAAACCAAAGTCGATCACCAGGTCGAGGTAAGGCAGCGGTTAATGGGGTACTAAAAGTAATGTGCTTACTGACCATAGATGTTTACTAATCATGGTTAGTAATAGCCTGTGGAAATGGCTGTATAATGTTTTCTGTGGTGTTAGAGGAGCTTTGTCCATTTTGTCAGTAGTCTGAGAAACTACAGTAACTCTGGGGCTGTTTGAGTGATGTTAGCAGGGTTATCTGCAATTGTGCTATATATTTACATCAGAAGGCAGTCAAATAGGGATTAATGAACAAAAAAGCTGTTTGTTGCATTATGGGAAATACAGTGCCTTGCGAAAGTATTCGGTCCCCTTGAACTTTGCGACCTTTTGCCACATTTCAGGCTTCAAACATAAAGATATAAAACTGTAATTTTTTGTGAAGAATCAACAACAAGTGGGACACAATCATGAAGTGGAACGAAATTTATTGGATATTTCAAACGTTTTTAACAAATAAAAAACTGAAAAATTGGCCGTGCAAAATTATTCAGCCCCCTTAAGTTAATACTTTGTAGCGCCACCTTTTGCTGCGATTACAGCTGTAAGTCACTTGGGGTATGTCTCTATCAGTTTTGCACATCAAGAGACTGAAATTTTTGCCCATTCCGCCTTGCAAAACAGCTCGAGCTCAGTGAGGTTGGATAGAGAGCGTTTGTGAACAGCAGTTTTCAGTTCTTCCCACAGATTCTCGATTGGATTCAGGTCTGGACTTTGACTTGGCCATTCTAACACCTGGATATGTTTATTTGTGAACCATTCCAATGTAGATTTTGCTTTATGTTTTGGATCATTGTCTTGTTGGAAGACAAATCTCCGTCCCAGTCTCAGGTCTTTTGCAGACACCATCAGGTTTCCTTCCAGAATGGTCCTGTATTTGGCTCCATCCATCTTCCCATCAATTTTAACCATCTTCCCTGTCCCTGCTGAAGAAAAGCAGGCCCAAACCAGGATGCTGCCACCACCATGTTTGACAGTGGGGATGGTGTGTTCAGGGTGATGAGCTGTGTTGCTTTTACGCCAAACATAACGTTTTGCATTGTTGCCAAAAAGTTCGATTTTGGTTTCATCTGACCAGAGCACCTTCTTCCACATGTTTGGTGCGTCTCCCAGGTGGCTTGTGGCAAACTTTAAACGACACTTTTTATGGATATCTTTAAGAAATGGCTTTCTTCTTGCCACTCTTCCATAAAGGCCAGATTTGTGCAGTATACGACTGATTGTTGTCCTATGGACAGAGTCTCCCACCTCAGCTGTAGATCTCTGCAGTTCATCCAGAGTGATCATGGGCCTCTTGGCTGCATCTCTGATCAGTCTTCTCCTTGTATGAGCTGAAAGTTTAGAGGGACGGCCAGGTCTTGGTAGATTTGCAGTGGTCTGATACTCCTTCCATTTCAATATTATCACTTGCACAGTGCTCCTTGGGATGTTTAAAGCTTGGGAAATCTTTTTGTATCCAAATCCGGCTTTAAACTTCTCCACAACAGTATCTCGGACCTGCCTGGTGTGTTCCTTGTTCTTCATGATGCTCTCTGCGCTTTAAACAGACCTCTGAGACTATCACAGTGCAGGTGCATTTATACGGAGACTTGATTACACACAGGTGGATTCTATTTATCATCATTAGTCATTTAGGTCAACATTGGATCATTCAGAGATCCTCACTGAACTTCTGGAGAGAGTTTGCTGCACTGAAAGTAAAGGGGCTGAATAATTTTGCACGCCCAATTATTCAGTTTTTTATTTGTTAAAAAAGTTTGAAATATCCAATAAATTTCGTTCCACTTCATGATTGTGTCCCACTTGTTGTTGATTCTTCACAAAAAATTACAGTTTTATATCTTTATGTTTGAAGCCTGAAATGTGGCAAAAGGTCGCAAAGTTCAAGGGGGCCGAATACTTTCGCAAGGCACTGTAAAAATTACTGCAGGTAGTGCAATGTAGGCCTAACTTCACAAAGGTTTATTCAGCTACTGTACAATGCTGACAAAATACTAAAGTACAGCTAAAGCTTATATATGTAAGGCTCCTGACAAAGGATCTCCCAGTTCTCCCAGGTCATTTTTCACAGAAACACCTTTTTATATTACAGTCCACACCAACAACACAGTAGTTTTGGAAAATAACTAAGTACATTTACTCAAGCAAGCTCCTGGTACTGATGGTACACCTCTTTGTTTTGCCTAGATTGTTCAACTAAGGAAGAAATGAAACCATATTACAAACATCTGATACAGTGGCTGTGAATGGTTGTTAGATCCACTCAGACACAGAGGTGAGCGAGTCAAAAAAAGGACGGACCCAGGTGGCTGACTTCAGTGCAAGTAGTGCTCGGTTTATTTACAGTGATATCTTACAAGGAAGTGAATGACCAGGTTGAAGTGGGACCGGGTGTCAAGCCGCAGAAGGTGAATAACAGTCAGTGGTGGAATGATGAGGGAAAGGCCAGGCTGCGGACGCTGGGACTCACTGCTGGGCTGGTCGTGGTGGAAGGTTGCTGAGGAGACAGAGTTAGTACATGCAGTTAATGGGAGACTGTGCATCGACCTGCGTGCTGGAGATGGTGCGGGATTGAGGAGGTTCGTGGTCCGGAGAAGCAACAGAGGCGAGGAGGCTGAGACAATGGGGCACAAGACTGGAACGGGGCTAGGGCGACAAAAACGTGAGTACAATATAAAGCTAAGAACAACGAGAAACAAACGGGCCTGATGATACTAGAAAGAACTGGCAGGGGAG